TACCACTGGATCGTCAATATTCTAGTCACTTGATGATACAAACTAATGCCGAATAAGCTCTCATTGGAGTCAGATTTTACGGCTAAAAACATAACCATCGGCATTTTTCTCACCAAGTCTCGTTTCTAGTGTAATCACTTAGTTAGGTTACAGAATAACTGAGACGTTTAGAACCAAACTAATCATACGCAATTGATATCAATCTAAGTAATAATTATTAGTTAGGATCAATATGGGGATTTGTGGAGATTGTAGTATTTTCAGAGTTTAATTCACGAGTCGATCATTAGGAATCATGGATGAGTACTTATGAGGAGTTCTATATTAGGACGAAACGGCCGTTCATTTCTTCCAGGTTTTCAACAGTGGTCTAGCTTAGATCGGCTTATTAATGCAATTGTGAAAATATTAGTTAGAACTTAAGTTATTCCGTTGATAATATCCAGAGCCTGAATTGAAATCAATGTTAGTTTGCAATAACGTAAAACTATTACTAAATGGATATAGGAAAAAAATAATCGTTATAATGCACTTTTCTTCTGTATTTTTTTTCCTAAAAAATTACATTACAGGATAGCGACAATGATGGTTTATTGAATGAATGGGACGATGATGATGATAATGATGGTATTCCAGGTTAGTCACTGTGTTTGATGTATTTTTAGACAAAATAATCCATTGAAAGAAACGATAATATTTTCTATGTATTAATTAGTGCCTTTATCGGATTATTTTTAAAGTTTGAAATGATTATAAAATCAGTTTTAGACAATCTTTCATTCTTGCAAAACCTGAAATTAACATTTGAATTAGTTTGATCAAACGTTCTATAAACTTTGAATCAACTTATCTTAGATCCCTGTATTACCATACTGTAGAAATGATAAAAATTCATACAGTCATATCTATAGGTCATAATAGTTCGCCATTATTTGACACAACTAATGAGGACATAATGTGTTCTTGGTAAACCAGTCAGATTTGTATATTATCTTTTTATGTATACTGATTTTTGTGTAACGCTCAAAATAGTGATCATTTTCTAAATAACATGAGAATGTTAACCCAATAGTTGAGTAAGATGTTTATTTTAGGTTAAATATAGATAAGATGCAGAACCGATATCCAGTCATAGAAATTCTGATAAACTGTCTTAATATTAGGGTAATGATTATTTATTTTACTATCCACTTAATTCCTACTAGTATGCAAGTGAAATATTGCTGGTTTCAAAAATAAGCCTGGCACTTCTCATTGAAGTATAATTCCAAAAAGAGAGGTTTTCATTAAATAATCCAGTTAGTAATAAGATAGTGACTCTGTAAGCTGTTAGTAATAAAACTGAATGATAAGTCAACAAGCTATATACTTTTTACCATCTTATACTTCCTTTTAACTGATCAATAAATCGATTTTTAACATAACTTATGTTTTCTTTTGTAGATGTGGATGATGAAGATTCGAATGGTGATGGGATTATTGATTGTCAACCACATGATAGTGATAATGATGGAATACCCGATCATATCGATGAAGATGATGATAACGATGGTATACCAGATCAACGAGATCCTGATTCTATGTCATTTCTGCTGTATAAACATAAGCGTTTTCTTGAAGCTATCCCAGGTATACATAATAATCACTCATATTTTGATTTGAATTTATCCGTTTCAAAGTAATTCATCCATCTATATGTTTCTTTCAGCAGATAACTTGTCAAATTCAATAATCTTTTTAAATAGTAAAAATAAGCATCCCTTTCGTGAAACATATTTACTGATAACTTAGTTGCTTAAAATAATCATGTTTATTTACATGAGGATATTTTCAATATTAAATGTGAATTCAGAATTAATAATTGTATTTAGCTTTTATAATTCAGTGGTCAAAAGTTTTGAGAAAAACGCAACACTGAAACACATTATTGATCATAAATAGAGCAAGAACAAAGATTGGTGTAGCGAAGATTCAGATAGAGTTAATGAGCTCATAAAATGTTTGATTCGAATAAATAAATAAAGTTTGAGAGGGAAAGTTCTGGAACATTGAATTAGTGATTAGAACTCATGAAAATAGATTAATGGTAATAAAGAAATATGAATTGAAATCAATCATTTATGTATGATGTAATTTATATTTCAGAAAGAGTTGCAATGATGACGTAATAAATAAATAAATAAATAGGAGCAAATTAATAGAAAGAGTGGGGGTTATTGTTACCAGGGTAAAGAAAGATTTATTACTGTCTCTTTTTGTATACATAGATCTGGTTTTAAACGTTTGATTGCTAACGCTTCAGCGAATTTCAAAAGGTTCGAGTTTGATTGTTTGTTAATCACCTTGAAGGACTTCAGTATATCAGCTTTATGTCCTGTATCAAGGAGATGTCTTGCGATAGCACTGTTGAATGTGTTCAATCCATTTAACCTTAAACTTTTCGGAATATGTTCTTTGAATCGGACGTAGGCTCTTCCCTGTCCCCTGGTGTTGTTTCTTAAACCACCCAATCCACCTAACTTTCAGTTCTGACTACTTGACCACATTTTAATTAGCAGAATTGAATAGTGGCTAGTAGTGGAATCTAGGTCGAACATTTCATCCTATTTGAGACACGTCGGCAGGATAAAATGCGCGTTCAAGATTCCACTACTAGCCACTATACATCTATGCTTAGAATGTTTGTGACTTAAAGGAATATTGAAGCGATCCGCACACGATGCACATATTCCAACAAGACAATAGTGAAATACAGTCTCAAACGTCAGTGAGAAGATTCAAACAACCAATAGACGAATTAAATTATACATCAGTTTATCATTTAATTCATCTGTTGAAATATTAATAAGAATGAAGTGGCTTGATTTTCTTTTTGTTTTCTATTCCCATTGTTACTCTGTCCGAATGATCTTATAATCATATCCACTTCTCGACATAAATTCGTATGAATTAAAACTAACACTAATTTATCATCCATACATTTTTCAAAGTCAAATCAAACATTTAAACCAATATTATTGTCCGAAGAAAATTGAAGAAAGTCTTTTATATTCAAGGGGAATGATTTAGCAAAGAAAGGGATTGACATTTGATCATTGAATATTGTTGGTAGTGCATAATTAAAAAAAATCGAAATGAGAGAAATAATTTAGTTAATTGTAAAAGATGTGTACCTATTTGTTGTAACATGTTTAAATCATAAATAGTTGTTATATTTACAAACTACAACTATTGCAGATTAAGATAACTGACATTTCTGAATCCTCAGAGCTCACTACTTTGATGGATTTATCTGATGATAAACAATATAATATATTATCTTTACTAGCGTCTTATATTTCCTTTTAGTGTCATTATTAATGTAGAAATAAAAAGTAAAATGCAATTTATCAGACAAAAAATGAATATCATTGAAATGATGAACTGATCAACTTTTGAAAATCTGAAAGCACCAGATGGTCATTTTGTCCTATTATGGAACTCTTCAACAGTACATATCCACAATATCGCAAGACAAAATAAATGAACATTGTGTCATATTTGACAAATATTAGTTGGAAGACGCTTAGTTAACTTTGAATCAGTTTATGTATGAAAGTAAACAAATAGTAATTTAGACAAATAGAGATAGATAAGCGTGGATACACAAAAGTATACTTAAAGGAAAGGTTAAGATTAATTATATATGAATACATAAAATATAACAAATCAGATTACAGTGTCATATGTTCGTGACAGATAAGTTGAAATAACAGCTTGTATCAGTCTGTTATACAAGTTCACGAAACGATTGTTAATTCCGTTAAGTATGCAGTATGTCTTAAGTGTATATAAGCTCGCTAAAACACAAAAACTACAATCTCATACATAATTGTGTGCTACTTATATTGATATAAGTAGTATGCGATGTTAGTCGTGAACAGAACGTCTGGCAGCAGAGACAAGAGGATCGAACAGTAAAGAATGGAAACAGGATGCGATTTGTATGAATATGCAAGAACAATGAAGTCTGAGTCATTTTGAGACAATTAGTGGACATTTTGCAAATAAAGCATTTACTTTATGATTGTAAGATTTTATTAACAAGTCCTGTAATTTCGTGTTAAATACATTCGATTATCCCCACTGGTGTTCGTCTTCACCACAACTGTATACTTACAAGTGTTTTTTAAAGGAACATAAGCTTAACGTAAAGAAGGAGAACTATTTGTTTACCTATTAAGATTATTTATTCAAATCAATTTTTACCCATTTTTGTTTTCCTTATTTTTTTTAATCTAAACTTCATCAACTAAATCACATTTATCAAAAACAAAAAAAATTATTTCAGATAATCGTCTGAAAAAAATTCGAGTTTATATGCCAATTTTTGTGAAAAAATTTCCACATGGAATGTCCGACAGTGAAATATCTAACGATGTACAATATACACATGGTGAACTATGATACTCGTTAATTTAGTATTAAGATAATGATTCTTACTTTAAAAGTGTTGTGTTTGTCTAGAGTTTGAAAATGCATGAAGATTTTTTTTTTTGAATATTACAAATGTGTGCAATGTCTATCATGTTTTTAGAGTTTATTGTTGCACCTTTCTTTACAAAGATAAATGATTTCCCACTTATACTTAAACACAGATTTGTTGTCAAGACGTTTAAAACTACAAATATATAGGCATCTTTTATTATGTACGCCAGAGTACGATTAGTGAATATTATCATACATACTTTCAAGTTATCATTTTCTTCAACAATGTCTGACCTAATCTCATTACTTTCAATTAAGGAGTAATTATTATTTTACATGAACTACCGAGTCATACATTAACATGTTCTTCAGTATTGTATTTTATTTATGGTGTATTTTTTCTAGATGTCATCATGGAACGTGAGTTAACTTTCTTAGCATATAAAAAAAATAGGTTGGGAAGAAGAAATAACAAATTTAAGAACTAATCGACTTATGAATAACTACTGTTATATTAGTTTAGTTTTTTTTTCAAGAAAAATACTTAACTGATAACAACTAGAAAAATTATTTATTCCCTAAACCCTGTAGTAATATCAAGTGATCTACTTTAATACACCATTTAAAAAATTTGAAGCACCAGACGAACATTTCGTCCTAGTATACAACGCCTCACTAGTGAGCATCCTTGAGACCCTCACGTCACAATCGAACAAACGACCCTCAGTCTCACACTGGAACACTTGATATCTAAACCACTGGATCGTAATCCAACAGTATCATTTTCTAACTTCAGTCAATCCACAATAGTACACGACTATCTCACATTGTCTTCAGTAGGTAATCGCCACTCACTCGACACGGTTTAGCTTCACTGATCACAGTCTCTAACTAGAAGTGTTAAAATTTCCTCTAGAAGTTAGTTACTAGTAACCACATAATAAATATATGTGTTTGTTGAGATTTTTGAATTTCACTGAAATCCTGAAGTGACTTAAATTAGACCACTGGGTTTTTAATGGTGGTCTTTTCAGGATTTCAATGAATTTCAAAGACCTCCACAACATTATATCTAACTTACTTACACCTGTTACCTTCCATGGAGGAGCATAGGCCGCTCGCCTGCATTCTCCATCCAACCCTGTCCGGAGCAATCCTTTACAGTAGTTTCCAGTTGTTATAGTTCCTTTCCATGTCTGCTTCCAATTCTCGGCGCAGTGTGGGTTTTGGCCTTCCTCTTTGCCGTTTCTATTCAGAATTTCAAGTTAGCACTTGCCTCGTGATGCAGTTTGATGATTTCCGTAATGTATGTCCTATCCACTTCCAATGCATTTCCCTAACTTCCTCTTTAGGTAGAACCTGGTTTGTCCTTCTCCCACAGTAAGCTGTTGCTGATGGCATCCGGCCAAAGGACCTTCCATATCCTACATAGATAATTGTAAAGAAATACATCTACCTTTTTGATGATGGTTGGGGTAGTTCTCCACGTTTCAGCTCCTTACAGTAAAACTGTCCTGATGTTCGTATTGAAGATTCTGACTTTGATATTGGCTAACAGTTGTTTTAAGTTCCATATGTTCTTCAACTGTAGGAACACTTCCTTTACTTTGCCAATCCTTGCCTTTACATTTGCACCAGATCCTCTACGTTTATTGATGTTGCTGCCCAGATATGTGAAACTTCCCACCTCTCCCAGAGTTTCGCTATCAAGTATGATTGGTTTGGTGTTCTCTGTGTTGAAGTTAAGGATGTTGCTTTTTCCTTTGTGTTTTATAAGGCCTACTGATGCAGAGGCAGGTGCTACGCTGGTTATCATAACCTGTATTTGCCCGCGTGTATGGGATAGAAGGGTCAGGTTATCTTTGAAGAACAAATGTTCCAATTGACTCCGAGCTGTTCATTGTATTCCTTACTTCCCCTTAGATATCGAGATTTTCATAATCCAGTCAATCAACATAATAAATAGGAAGGGAGAGAATAAGCAGCCTTGTCTTATTCCTGTCCTCACTTGGAATGAGAGTCAGCTGTCTCCCATGAATCACTTTGCAGTGTAGTTCGTCTTATGAATTCCTGATGATCTTCTCGGGTACTTCATAGTGTTGAAGTTTCCGTAGTGTTCTCCTATCCACACCGTCAAACGCCTTCTCAGAGTTTAGGAAGTTGGTGTACAGTGATGAGTTCCATTCAACTGATTGTTCAACAATGGTCTGTAGTGTGGCAATTTGGTCTGTGCACGATCGATCCCTACGGAATCTGGCCTGTTTCTTAACAAGCTTTTGTATCGTTGTTTCTTCTTTTTTACAATGACACAGTTAATATAAGTAAGCATAGTGTTGTTTAATCCGTTTAAACGCTAATCAGAATAAACAGATTAAACACTGTACTTACTTATTTTAACTGTGTTATTGTAAACCAGAAATAGCAGTACAACAGTTTGTTAAAAAGCATTCCTAGAACTCCAAAGTTCGGGATTTTAACAATGGCATGAATTGGTATATTTGTAAATATGGAGCGTTTATAGCTGCCAATAACCTCGAAAGTCGACTACGTGGTTCCTTATAATTATGCTTGGATCATGATCATTATCTGTTTCACAACGACATAATTATTTTTTAAAGCTTAAATTGCAGATTTCATGAATTTAGCGTAAATTGGACCTAAAACTTTTAAAATATATGTTAAAATGTAATTTATTGAGGCGTTACAGTTTTATGTATTTAATCCCCCTTGTACATTTTGCTATAACAAATTAGTTTCTATAGTAAATACTCCTTAACGAGCCATGAAATGATAAATAAGATTTTTCAGTGTAAAATTACTACAACAATTATTAATTCTAGCTTCGTTAGTTTGAAAGCATGCTTTAATGTTTAGCATGAATATTAGTACATTTATACAAAGAATTATGACTGTTCAAGTAGTTTTCCATGAGTTCATATCTGGGTTTTTTTTCTGTTTGTGTGTTTATATGTGACCTATTTCCCTGTTATCTGTTAGCATAAACTATTCTTGCCTAGGTTATAGGTATTATGAATGTTCAATGTTATATGTGTAAAGAATTGATACATTGAACAATGTATTTACTGATCAGATTGATGGAAATATATATATTTAGGGAAAAAGAGCTTTCTTCAAATAAAAGATCTCAGATTTTGGCGCGAAATTCATCCATCCATCGGGCTAAATAGAGTTTTGGCATTATAAGTGATGTCAGTTCATGATGAAAACCCTAAATCTAATTCCTAACCCTAACCGTCCCCACTGTGCTACCTTGTTAAGCTTCATGCTGATTCAATTTCGCATATTTTTCAGCTCATTTGGAGAAAATGAGTATACTACTTTAAGATCAACTGCATATAGAAGGTGTTACCCACACAAAAACTTCCACAAATATCATTGATAAACACTAAAAAGAGCAAAGGACCTAAGACACTACCTCGCATTACACCACTTCTAACAGGGACAGCATTAGACAATGAAGAGTTAATTTTAACTATTTGATGTCGATTGCTGAGAACGGAATCAAACCAAGCTAGCAAAGGGTGTTGAACCCCGTAAGATGCGAGTTTACCTATAAGAAGTTGGCGGTTAACCATGTCGAAGGTTTTAGAAACGTCCAGATATAGCACTAAGACTAGATATCCTTGGCTATGTAGAGAATGGACTAAATTAAAGAAGTCAAAATGACATGTCATGCGAGAACGATTTTTAAGAAATCCATGTTGAGTATCATTGGTAAATTTTCCAGCGAGTAAATAGTTAGAAAGTTTATCACTTATAATTTTTTCCATAATTCGAGAGATAACTGGAGTAATATTTATTGGCCGATAATTGTTCATTTCAGTCTTATCTCTAGATTTGTAACGTGGTATGATGTACGCGGTTTTCCAACAGTAAGGGTAAGAACCTGTTTCCATAGAGTAAACATCTTTAGAAGAAGTGGAATATCTGGACCAGTATATTTGTAGACAAAGGATGAAATCCCATGTGCTCCATGACCTCTCGAAAGCTTAAGGATATTTATAGCCTGACTAATTTTCATGCATGTAAAAGAGATAGATTTTATTGAGTTGCTAGTTACACACATAACTCGTGAAGCAGAGCCATTTATGATTACTACACCATTCGCAAAAATACCACTGAGAAGGTTTGCTATAGTTTTAGAATCGTATATAAAAGTGCTATTATGCTGGATGCACGGTATATCAACATTTTGAGTTGCTTAAGCGCGTTTATTGAAAAGGATAGTTAAGTTTTGTACCTTTGAGTTAGTATTAAGTGCTAGTATCTCCTCATTAATGGCTTTTAACCTATGTTCCTCTTTAATTTGTATTAAAATTATTGTTATTTGTGCAACTGCTGTGAAGTCGTTTGACTTAAAATAACGATTCTGTAGGCGTTTTAGTTTATTACGATATTTAGCTGGTATATATAATTCGTAAGGTTTACTAAACCTGTACGTTTTAAGAGGTAGACAGGAATCTAAACAAGAGTTAACGACCAGATAGAATTCGTCGATAGTATCCATGAGACTATTACATGAAAAAAAATGGATGTTTGCTCAACATGGACATAATCGATCTACAAATTAATGACATTTTTATTGTTTAGGGGATTGAAAACCAAACAACATAGGTTTCCAACGGTGGTCTAACATCAATTAATTCATGATCTCAACCAAAAACTTAACAATCTCCACAACCCACATACTGATAACATAGATAGCATTAACTCTACTTTTACAGTATAAAAAATACGAATAACAATTGATTATGTAATAAATTTAAAAATATTTGGCTTGTTAAAACTTCAACTAGTAAATAAATGTGAGACAATTCAGCGTTAATTTACTTGATCAACTTAATATTTCTAGTCGCTTATCTTCGTAAATGTTTAAATCTTTACATTTCCACGTGTGACATTTACGGATTCTGAGTAGATATTATGTTGTAATTGTTATAAACGTCATTCATACATTATTACTGAGCACTTAATTTTATTACTAACCACCTCTAAGAACATCATTAGTTGTATTGAAAAATGTTTATTGAATTCATTAGTGTAATTAATTTGATGAGTATCTGTCAACTTAAAATACCATCAATATTACACCATTTTTAACGCGGATTTGTGATTTTCTCGGTACCCCCTTCCTCTTATACAAATAATTCAATAACACTAGATTTGTATGTAGTTTTCTTCACTAAGTACACTTGTGTTTGTACAATTTAAGCTTAAATGTGCACTGGAGTACCATACATAGTATTTGGCTTGAGTGTGATTCTACGTATATTGTTATTCCTAAAAAAAACCATAATTTATGAATACAATTGCTATTTTTTGTTTGCAGCTCATATTGCACGACAAGAAGCCAACTTGTTAAATGTCGATTTAGGCGATCCAAACGATAAAGATTGTGATGGAATTCCAGATCATATTGATAATGATTTGGATAATGATGGAAAAATCGACAGAACACAAGATTCAGATATGGATGGATTATTAAACCACATAGACGAAGATGATGATAATGATGGTAGGAATTATTATGGTTTTTTTTAAAGAAAATTGGTAGTTTAAATACATTTGATTAATTCTAGATATTTTGATTATGGATTGACGTCAATTGTGAAAAAAAATCAATGAAGAATAAAGAGGAGTAAATGTGTTTACCATTGTGATTTGAAACTTTTAAACTATGCGCCTAAGTTTACTGTGTCCAGTATGAAAGCCATGGAAAAGCACTCTACCGTTGGAAATATTAAGGATTTGTGATGAACCACTGTTGTAGTTGGATTATGTATGGTTGGTTTTATAATAGTGCTTGACTGATTAGCTAATAACCTCTTATCAGTTTCCTCATCAGTATACCTATATAATATCCTGGTAGTATCATATGTCAATGAATCACTCTATAATGATAAAAAAATCAAGAATCACAGAAAATAATGTACTGTCAGACCAACTCAATCGTATATATAAAAAGAAACGTCTTTTTATTGTATTACTACATTCATCATCCTACTGACCTTTGATTTTATTATTGTTCAGATATGCATGTACTGATGATTTGTAAGAAACCTATGATTTCTTCAGACTTCTACCTGTTGTACCGGTATGGCTTTAATTTAATACACTCTTAGTTATGAATATGATGTATTCAGGTTTCAATCCATTTCATGAATTTTTCACAATTTACTCTATAAGAGATGAATTACTTATCTTCAAGTGGATTAGATTGTTTCGGTATATACCAAGAGACTTATGTACTCCTCCTTCTTTAGCATACTTCATTATGATGTCACAAATTGGTTGATTCTATTTCTATACAATTTGTTTAAAAATGAAAACATTTAGACAATGGAAGTTTTCTTCTCGACGATTTATTCTCTTTATTAATCTGATCAGAACAAATACTAAAATTCCAAATGAAAAAATGGTACGAAATCATTTTATTTCGTGAAATCCCATCAACTGCTTATAACTCTTAGTTGGATTGACAAAACTTACTGATTTGATTGAAATATAACATATTGTTATATAAACATACATAGTTCCCATTTAAATATAAGAACATGAAATTCAGCGAGATCTCTTTTCAACGAATTTATTATCAAGCTGTGCAATCGTATATATATAAGAACTTTTGTCTAAATTTGAACAAACAGTTTCACAGTAATTGAACACTGAGTTTATGTAAGACATTAATGAGGCAGAATATATTTTTAACACCTCACTGATTGAATTTGAAGTAAATCCAACGTTTCGTTCGGTGATCTGGTCCAAGCTTTTTCAAGGAACTATAAGCAAACATCGCTGAACTTTGTGTTTATAATTATTAATTTTATATACCTTTTTATTTGTACAAGCAATAATTTATTGTTATTATTTACACTCTATGACCTATCACATCATCGTGTTTTTAAAATTTCATACACATTTACGATTGTATAGCTGAATAAAAAGTTCTTTGAAAAGAGATCCCTTCTCTGAATTTTTTGTCGTATAATCTAAAAATAACACTCATGAATACTTGAATCAAAATAGGGTCATATTTCAAGTTGTTTGATATCTACCAAACTAATAGAAAAAGTAAATGAAAGGTAAGATAGAAAATATACAGAACTGGAATTTCAAACAAGATGTGTCACTTCATCATTTACTTTTTTACAATAGTGACTAAAAAACTTAAGTTACTGCCAGTTGCCTAAAACAGCAACTTACAGCTTTGGAACTAATGACCATTACTTAGCACATAAATGCACCATAGAACCAAAAACAACTTCATTATAACTGAAACAAATAAAACAATAATATAAGAAATAATAATCTTACTAAATAAGGACAAAGTAGGACGAAAATACTAATAAGCCTTCAAATTCTTTTATAAAAGTGATTGAGCATAATATATATCGGAAAGCCTTCGTTAGTCCTCCCTAGTTACTTATTATTTTAAATCATATTGTACTAACATTTCAATGAAGTAGATTACTAAAATTAGTAGCAATATATAGCTTGTACTGATGAAGTAGGAAACCATGTAAGAAATGGGTAGATTATAATGTGAATAATCGCTATAAATGAGCAATATTGTTTTCTTGTAGATCTTTACTAGGTTTTACTCTAATATTTGGCTATATATATGAAAATATATTTAACTATGTAATCTACTTAATTGTTATGTTTGACTGATAAACTGCCTTGGTTGGTTTAATTTTTCATACACCCATATAAATATTACAAAGACCTGACTGAAAACAATGTTGTTTGCTTATATGTGTTGATCTAACTTGCAGTATGGAAATTTCAATACTTTTCAATTTACATTTTTTATTGAAATCCGTCGTAATAACTGAAATTACTGATAGTTTTATTTTATACTTTATATCATGACTTAGTTAAATAAGGATTGGAAATCAGTAAGTACTGGACAACTGTTTTTTCATATCATGCAATTCTTCAGTATTGTTCATTAGTGAAGCGTTCGATCTTCAATAGCATCGTGGATGGACGCTGTTGATAAGTTACGCTATACTTGGATAAAGCAGTTGTTCAGTAATTCTTGGTATTCATGGTTATCTAATTAAAGTCGGTCCATGGTGTAAACGATAAAATTTAACAGTTTTCAAAAGCTTTCTATATCAAAAGCTGTGTTTATCCTTTTCGGACTTCTCTTTTCTTATCTACCCTTCTTTAATTTTTGTTTTAAGGTATTCCTGATGTATTAGATCCTGATGCGAATGGTGATGGTATTCCAGATTGTCGACGTGATGGTGGATTACATTATAAATTAGTTAAATCACCTTCTGGTTTAATTAAAAAAGTATTAAGAATACGTGAACCAACACAAGAAGAACAACATCAAGCCTATATGGTTAATGAAGCTAAACGTAAATTAATACGTATTCGTGCTAAACTACGTGAACCTTTACCAAAGAATACAATACAAGCAATTCCATCATTTGATTTCAATGATAACATGAATGATAATCCAGATAATCATCATCATGTTAATGAAATAAAATCTAAAATAAAATCATTTAATTCAAAATCTGTTCAATCTAATATCAATTCAAAAAATGAACATACAATTAAACATCATCCAAATAATAAACAAGAAAATGGCGGTAATATAAATTCAAAGAAAACATCAATACAAGGAATCAAATCTACTGGTTCACCTTCTTTAAAACAATCAAATCAACAACAAATACCAATAAAACATATCAAAGAACAAAATACTGTTAAATTAAATAATAAACAACAAAATCGTAAATTAGCAGAAAGTTTAATACCAAATGAAAATACTGATTCATTTTATTCTTTAAATAAAGACATTTTACTGAATATTCATGATATGAATGATTACCCTGATCATGTTTCTACTCCCTTTGATAATTTTAACGATGATGATGATGATGACAATGAAATAGAGAATGATCAAGAAGTTAATTTAGCTGATACAAACTTAAAATCATCAATATTTGGCAGTTTTTTATTGCCTGGAGCAGAAGCAGGAACAGCTAATGAAGTAACTGGATCAAATAGAAAAAATATCAAGAAAATGAAACAAAACGAAGCAACACAAATGAAAAAAGTTGATAAATTAAAATTAAAAGAAAAACAGAAGGTTAGAAGAATTACATAGTTAAACTATTCATCAATCCAATTTCTTATTTAGAAAAAAATTTAGATAAATATGAAGTTAATAATTTCTTGGCCGAGACTGTAACTCATGGACGAACCAATCAGATTTAGGATAATAAGTCTTAGATTTTGGCACAAAATTCATTCATCCATTTGGTTAAATAGCGTTTTGGCATTTTAGCTTATGTCATTTCATGATGAAAACCTTAAATCTAATTCCTAACCCCTACCATCAACCGAAAATCATAATCCTTATTCTTCACATTGCTTTATAACACTCATTTAGTTTTGGTTAGTAGATGGACATTCTCAAGGTCACTTTAGCGTCGCTCAATGATCGTCCACAAATTATAGTCTCACCAATTCTGTTTTATTTGTTTTACTATTGAAAATTAAAACAATCATTGCCTTGAAATTTATCATCTTACATAGTTCATATACTTCTGAATAGATTTAAACAATTATAGAATGAAACAGTTATTCCGTTGTGTAAATTAGTTTCTAACAGTTATAATCTGCAATAAACCACTTATAAATTTCTTTTATAGTGTAAACTTTTCTTAATTTAGTATTATTTTATTTTATTCTTGTATGTTGATAATAATGTTGACTGATTTATAAAACATACACAGAAACTATTATGTTTTAACTCTAGACATTTCAATAATTCAATAAATATTTATTAGTAACATGACTTATTAAATATTATTATGATCGTATATCATCATCATTAACTTAAGATCACGTCATATGTAAAAACAAATGAATTCTGTTCGTATGAACATGAATAAATTTGATAACAAACTGGGACAATAAAAGATTGTTCATTTTCATTGAAATCATGAACTGATCGAAGTTGAAACTTCATTGATACTTCGTTATAGCATACAACTCCTCAGTAGTGAGCATCCATGATCCCTCACGTCGGAATCAAACCAAGGACACTCAGTTTCACGCGGGAACACTTAGTCTCCAAATTACCGAATTGGCATCCAACGGTATTAATTTCTAACTTTAATCAATCCGCAACATTGCGCGATGATCTTTAAATTTAATTCACTTCAGGATTTCAGTGAAATTCGAAAATATCAACAAACACATATATTTATTATGTGGTTACTAGTAACTAATTTCCAGAGGAAATTTCAACATTTCTAGTGAGAGACCGTGATCAGTGAAGCTAAACCGTGTCGAGTGAGTGGCGATTACCTACTGAAGACAATGTGAGATAGTCGTGTACTATTGTGGATTGACTGAAGTTAGAAAATGATACTGTTGGATTACGATTCAGTGGTTTAGATATTAAGTGTTCCAGTGTGAGACTGAGGGTCGTTTGTTCGATTGTGACGTGAGGGTCTCAAAGATGCTCACTAGTAAGGCGTTGTATACTACGACGAAACGTTCGTCAAGTGCTTTCAGCTTCCCAGTGATATTTTAACTCACATCAGCTCATCAATTCAAGAGAAATCCTTTTTACCAGTCAGGAAATACAGAGTGATCAGAATCACTTTTTCATACAGCTTTTAGTAAACAGAAAATGAAAAATAGTAACAATGATTAAGAAATTTTTTAAGTCGGATATTGGTGAGCATTTGAGCTCAGGAAACACGTTTTATCTTATTTGGAACTTGTAAGCTTGATACAATTATTAGTCACTATCCAACATGAATAAAAACCTCTGGTTGAATGGGAATATCAAGGTAATCCGGTAAACATGTAAGTATTGTCGAAAATGAAACTGACTAATTGCAATTCTTAACGTTGACAACATTAACTTTTACAGTTAAACAGACTTAGAACAAACGAGATAATCGTATTTCTTATTTCCGAAGTTAATTTTGCATAATAATGTCATGTATATTTAACAACTGTTTTATGATTCTCTCCACATTAGATTTCGATTTACTATCAAAATTACTTTAATGATTTAATGAATAAGAAATAGTGAATCACGGACATGCAAATTTTAGATAATCCCATGACAAGTTCATTACATAGTTCGTCTTATTACTTATCTCAATAATGATATTGTCAACTATGCACATGATTAATAGATTATTTTAAAAAATGCAGTCCAGATTTACATAAGTAAATATGCATAATAATACTGTGATACAGGATTGTCTGTATATGAACGTACCTGAAAAAAGTATTGGAAGGCCTTTGAGTCCTATTGTGGGACTCCTCATCAGTGCGCATCCACGATTCTGCTCGCGAGATTCGAACCCAGGGTCATCTAGTGCTTACAGGTTTTCAATGGTGGTCTAATATTAATCGGTTCATGATCTCAATCAAAAACCTAATAATCTCCACAACCCCATACTGATAATACTTTTTTTCCACAAAAAGGGAAAAGTTCCTGTAAATTCGTTTCTTCATGGTTAAGTTATTTACAATGTTCTACTTAATATTACTGATGAACTAAGCCGGAAACTAACTTGAAATTTAAGAAAATTCCATTTATAAAATTTTAAACATGTATTTTATTGAATTTACAGTGGACTACTACTACTCTAAATAAGTTTCTTATTTGAAGTTGTAAAATAGAAAATCTAATGATGCATATTTTGTGAATAGTCCGATTTTTCAAAAAGATGTATTTATAGATCAATAGAAACAGTTGTAACGTTTAAGTTCCTATACTTACTCCATCAGTACTAATCTCAGTTATTATTTGTGTAATTTAATGGATTATTGAGTGTGTATTTGTAGAAACTGACTGTTGATTGGTTGATAATAAATGATTTCGTAGAATGATTATTCATCCTAGGTAACTCGACGTATGTCTATTTTGTCAGTAATCTGATAGACAATTTGGCAAACAAGGAAAAATCTCCGAACTTTTATAGCTTCGACTAAATTTATAGGTGTAAGGAAAACATAGCTTGTCAGTATGTAAATACAATGAAAAGCAGTAGTAATTTAAACATTGACTGAAAAAAAATCCAGATGATGATTAAAAGCAGTGGTCAGTAAAAAAAAGTAAAAAGAGAGATCATAAGATCAGTTGAATTAACATGGTTTATAAGACTTCTATTTTCTTTATAATCTGTCTCCTAATTGAGACTCTGAAATGGCAACCCCAATAAAATTAGGCTAGTTTCAGGTTAAGTTATCGAAGTGTGTCAGATCTTTACTCTTTCATAAGTTATAAAATACCAGCTTAATTATGGATGTCTACACTTAAGTTCACCAACTAACAATGTTTGTAAATGAGAGACTTACTGAATTCTCTTTATTCACAAACTATTGGTAGATTCAAAACTGTCACACTTGCAATGGCTATGTAAAATACTATCTGACAGATTCATGCATTCTTCCTAGTTTTCCGAATAGTTACTCTTTGTTCATCTAATTTTCTAGAGATTGATCTTCTACTTAGAAATCCTTTCGTCGACTTGGAGTGTGTACATGGCATAGTTATATATGATAAAGATGCAGGAAAAATTCATTCTTTTGAACGCCATGAATAACGAATCACGGATACTTGGGATGCATATGGGTTTTTTTTTAATATTTTGAGAAAGGTTTTGAGTAAGCTAGCAATTTATTTATTGTAAAAACCATACAATTATGAAAGACTGATAGCAAATGAAATCTAGATATGGATTTGAATGTCTCTCATCCCATTTATTTACTTATATTATATGTAGCACAAATGGGATGACAATCTGTCTATTTGAAGACGGATATAATAAATAGCAATTTTTCCTGTATTTCTTTACTGCAGTGAACAATGGCCTTCAAAAATCGAGATCACAAGTTCGTTGATAATATTTATTCAAAATTGTATTTCATGCATGATAGAACTAACAGGTTATAATCCTAAGGTACGACTTAGGAAAACAATTAATAGAAAGTGTAAATCAAGTGACAGACCTCGGACTTCATATTGAAACCTATGTAGATTTTGCACCAATTTATAAGCCTTGTCCATTGTTAAATTACTAGTAATACTATCATTTTGTTGCTCAAATGTACGTAAGTGATTCAACACACTGAGGACACTATCTAAAACCGAACCTATCACATTCGGAATTACTTTCAATGATGACAATATGGAACAATTACAGTTTATTCACAAATAAATCGTTAAGAAATGTGCATTTACTAAATATGTTCCGTGAATGTTTAACCGTAATACCTCAAAAAGAGATGGTGAATCATGTACATTATTGTTCTAAAAAATTTCATCATTTCTCATCAACTCTTAAAAACTTCCGATGTTAATCTTGTTCTCAATATACTCTATTTAGTATGACAGTGAAATATCGGCTACCAAAAAATCTAACTTAAAGGAAATTGAAAGACTGATATGTTTTCTGTTTTTCATTTTATTCGTTTCTTTACGGTTTCATAATGCTAATATTGGCAGATTGTATAAGTTTTGGATTTATTTATGACCAAATGATCTCGATGTTAGTTGATTTGGGAAAAATATCTTTATGGGATCAATGAAAATATGATCAAACCTGTCACAGTAACTTCTAAACATTCTATACAAATATCATGCACATTAAAAAAATTTTTAATCTAAATCTTGACAAATGTTCAATAATATGTATTTTATTCCTGTTAGGTTAACGAAAATGACAAAAGGTTACACTCCACAAAAAATAAACAATCATGTGACGTCCATTCATGTCAAACAACAAAAAATAACCAGGTGAAAACTCACCGAAAATCTCAATCTATCACAAACTATTTATCTAGGCATCATGAAGATGATCATGATGACGAAGATGAAACATCGCTAGACTCAGATGGTAACGGCATACCGGATTATATGGAAGATGAAAATGGCGATGGTATTCCGGACTACCGAGAAGATGATGATAATGATGGCATTCCAGATCATTTAGAAAGTGATTCAGATGGAGACGGTATTCCAGATTATATGGAAGATGATGATGGAGATGGAATACCAAACTACTTAGAAGACGAAGATGAAAATGGCATTCCAGATTACCTGGAAACAAGTAAAGAGATCAAAAATCAAGGTAAGTATAAAATAAACGAACGTCCAGTTCGAAAACATAAAAATAAAGAAATACGTACAGATCACAATAAAAAAAGTTTAATAAGATACGGAAAAAATATCCATAACAAAATCCACAGTCAACAACGCAACTCACACCATGACCATCGAGAAGACGACTCCGACGGCGACGGTATCCCTGACCACCAGGAGGATGAGGATGGTGACGGAATTCCAGACTACCTGGAAGACGATGATGGGGACGGTATTCCCAATTATCTCGAAACGAGTCACCTCAAGAGAGCAAGCAAATTACCGAAACATATCGACAGGGACGGTGATGGAATTCCAGACCATCTAGAGGGTGATTCTGATGGTGACGGTATCCCTGACCACCAGGAGGATGAGGATGGTGACGGAATTCCAGACTACCTGGAAGACGATGATGGGGACGGTATTCCCAATTATCTTGAAACGAGTCACCTCAAGAGAGCAAGCAAATTACCGAAACACATCGACAGGGACGGTGATGGAATTCCAGACCATCTAGAGGGTGATTCTGATGGTGACGGTATCCCTGACCACCAGGAGGATGAGGATGGTGACGGAATTCCAGACTACCTGGAAGACGATGATGGGGACGGTATTCCCAATTATCTCGAAACGAGTCACCTCAAGAGAGCAAGCAAATTACCGAAACATATCGACAGGGACGGTGATGGAATTCCAGACCATCTAGAGGGTGATTCTGATGGTGACGGTATCCCTGACCACCAGGAGGATGAGGATGGTGACGGAATTCCAGACTACCTGGAAGACGATGATGGGGACGGTATTCCCAATTATCTTGAAACGAGTCACCTCAAGAGAGCAAGCAAATTACCGAAACACATCGACAGGGACGGTGATGGAATTCCAGACCATCTAGAGGGTGATTCTGATGGTGACGGTATCCCTGATCACCAGGAGGATGAGGATGGTGACGGAATTCCAGACTACCTGGAAGACGATGATGGGGACGGTATTCCCAATTATCTCGAAACGAGTCACCTCAAGAGAGCAAGCAAATTACCGAAACATATCGACAGGGACGGTGATGGAATTCCAGACCATCTAGAGGATGATTCTGATGGTGACGGTATCCCTGACCACCAGGAGGATGAGGATGGTGACGGAATTCCAGACTACCTGGAAGACGATGATGGGGACGGTATTCCCAATTATCTCGAAACGAGTCACCTCAAGAGAGCAAGCAAATTACCGAAACACATCGACAGGGACGGTGATGGAATTCCAGACCATCTAGAGGGTGATTCTGATGGTGACGGTATCCCTGACCACCAGGAGGATGAGGATGATGACGGAATTCCAGACTACCTGGAAGACGATGATGGGGACGGTATTCCCAATTATCTCGAAACGAGTCACCTCAAGAGAGCAAGCAAATTACCGAAACATATCGACAGGGACGGTGATGGAATTCCAGACCATCTAGAGGGTGATTCTGATGGTGACGGTATCCCTGATCACCAGGAGGATGAGGATGGTGACGGAATTCCAGACTACCTGGAAGACGATGATGGGGACGGTATTCCCAATTATCTCGAAACGAGTCACCTCAAGAGAGCAAGCAAATTACCGAAACACATCGACAGGGACGGTGATGGAATTCCAGACCATCTAGAGGGTGATTCTGATGGTGACGGTATCCCTGACCACCAGGAGGATGAGGATGGTGACGGAATTCCAGACTACCTGGAAGACGATGATGGGGACGGTATTCCCAATTATCTCGAAACGAGTCACTTCAAGAGAGCAAGCAAATTACCGAAACACATCGACAGGGACGGTGATGGAATTCCAGACCATCTAGAGGGTGATTCTGATGGTGACGGTATCCCTGACCACCAGGAGGATGAGGATGGTGACGGAATTCCAGACTACCTGGAAGACGATGATGGGGACGGTATTCCCAATTATCTCGAAACGAGTCACTTCAAGAGAGCAAGCAAATTACCGAAACACATCGACAGGGACGGTGATGGAATTCCAGACCATCTAGAGGGTGATTCTGATGGTGACGGTATCCCTGACCACCAGGAGGATGAGGATGGTGACGGAATTCCAGACTACCTGGAAGACGATGATGGGGACGGTATTCCCAATTATCTCGAAACGAGTCACTTCAAGAGAGCAAGCAAATTACCGAAACACATCGACAGGGACGGTGATGGAATTCCAGACCATCTAGAGGGTGATTCTGATGGTGACGGTATCCCTGATCACCAGGAGGATGAGGATGGTGACGGAATTCCAGACTACCTGGAAGACGATGATGGGGACGGTATTCCCAATTATCTCGAAACGAGTCACCTCAAGAGAGCAAGCAAATTACCAAAACATATCGACAGGGACGGTGATGGAATTCCAGACCATCTAGAGGGTGATTCTGATGGTGACGGTATCCCTGACCACCAGGAGGATGAGGATGGTGACGGAATTCCAGACTACCTGGAAGACGATGATGGGGACGGTATTCCCAATTATCTCGAAACGAGTCACTTCAAGAGAGCAAGCAAATTACCGAAACACATCGACAGGGACGGTGATGGAATTCCAGACCATCTAGAGGGTGATTCTGATGGTGACGGTATCCCTGACCACCAGGAGGATGAGGATGATGACGGAATTCCAGACTACCTGGAAGACGATGATGGGGACGGTATTCCCAATTATCTCGAAACGAGTCACCTCAAGAGAGCAAGCAAATTACCGAAACACATCGACAGGGACGGTGATGGAATTCCAGACCATCTAGAGGGTGATTCTGATGGTGACGGTATCCCTGATCACCAGGAGGATGAGGATGGTGACGGAATTCCAGACTACCTGGAAGACGATGATGGGGACGGTATTCCCAATTATCTCGAAACGAGTCACCTCAAGAGAGCAAGCAAATTACCAAAACATATCGACAGGGACGGTGATGGAATTCCAGACCATCTAGAGGGTGATTCTGATGGTGACGGTATCCCTGACCACCAGGAGGATGAGGATGGTGACGGAATTCCAGACTACCTGGAAGACGATGATGGGGACGGTATTCCCAATTATCTCGAAACGAGTCACCTCAAGAGAGCAAGCAAATTACCGAAACACATCGACAGGGACGGTGATGGAATTCCAGACCATCTAGAGGGTGATTCTGATGGTGACGGTATCCCTGACCACCAGGAGGATGAGGATGGTGACGGAATTCCAGACTACCTGGAAGACGATGATGGGGACGGTATTCCCAATTATCTCGAAACGAGTCACCTCAAGAGAGCAAGCAAATTACCGAAACATATCGACAGGGACGGTGATGGAATTCCAGACCATCTAGAGGGTGATTCTGATGGTGACGGTATCCCTGACCACCAGGAGGATGAGGATGGTGACGGAGTTCCAGACTACCTGGAAGACGATGATGGGGACGGTATTCCCAATTATCTCGAAACGAGTCACTTCAAGAGAGCAAGCAAATTACCGAAACACATCGACAGGGACGGTGATGGAATTCCAGACCATCTAGAGGGTGATTCTGATGGTGACGGTATCCCTGACCACCAGGAGGATGAGGATGGTGACGGAATTCCAGACTACCTGGAAGACGATGATGGGGACGGTATTCCCAATTATCTTGAAAATAATGGTGCTGCATCAATTTATTTAAATTTTTTGCGGAAATCGATCATGAATTTCAAGTCGTCGGATTCAAAGGACAATGTTATTCATGAATCACTGCGTGGTGACACTGATGGTGTTCCTGACTATCTAAAAGATAGTGATAATGACGGAGTACCAGATTTTATGGAAGATGATGATGATGATGGAACACCAAACTATATAGATGTTGATTCTACAGGACAATCTTTGCAACATTCAATTTCGTATAAAAAGCACTACGATTTCAATAAAAATGGCATACCAGATGACTTGGAAAGTGATCAGGATGGCGATGGCATCCTTGACTTCATGGAAGATTCTGATGACGATGGTATTCCAGATTATCTAGAGGATTCAGATAATGATGGATTCCCAAACTATTTAGATGATACATTTAACTCCAAACGTGATATCCATTTAAAATTTGAAGATAAAAATAAGAATGGGATACCGGATCATTTAGAACGTGATTCTGACTATGACGGAGTTCTTGACTATTTAGAAGATTCTGATAGAGATGGTATACCAGACTATTTAGAAGATACTGATGAAGATGGTACACCAGATTACATGGATGAAGATGCTGTTACACAATTTTCTCCGAGAAAAATACGCCATCGTGGAAGCGGTCGAAAATTTGCTGATGCTGATAGAGATGGTATACCAGATCATTTAGAAGGTGATATTAATCAAAACAATATCATTGACTATTTAGAAGATTTGGATAATAACAGTATACCGGATTATCTTGAAGATTCTGACAAAGATGGTATACCAGACTATTTAGACGAAGATGCTAATACAAAATTTTCACCCAAAGTATTAAGATCATTAAAACCAGCCAGACATTATGCTGATATAGACGGTGATTACATACCAGACCATTTGGAAGAAGATAATGATGGTGATGGAATTCCAGACTACCAAGAAGATTCTGATTCGAATGGTATCCCAGATTATTTAGAAGATAGTGATAGTGATGGTATACCGGATTACATAGATGAGGATGCTACGACACAGTTTTCACCGAAAAAATATCGTGAATTACGTTCTTCTATGAAATTTGAAGATGAAGACGGTGATGGTATACCAGATCATTTACAAGGTGATTCTGATGGTGATGGAATTTTAGATTTTCTTGAAGATAGCGATGGTGATGGGTTACCAGATTATTTAGAAGATGCTGACGGTGATGGTATTCCAGATTATTTAGATGAAGACGCAAATAGTCAATTTTCACCGAAACATTTCACTGACAAAAATAAAGATGGTATACCGGATCATTTAGAAGGTGATTCAGACGGTGATGGTACACCGGATTATCTTGAAGATACTGATCAAGATGGTGTCCCGGATTATTTAGAAGATTCCGATAATGATGGTATACCGAATTATTTAGATAATGATGTTGTTGATGTGGAAGTTGAAGCAGTTATTGAAGCGTATGATAAAGATACCAACAATAATGGGATGGCAGATTATTTAGAAGATTGGGACGGTGATGGTATACCAAATTATCTTGAAGATGAAGATCATGATGGTATTGTAGACTTCTTGGATAAACAAGACAATCGTTTATTAAGACGATTGACCAAAAATAAGAAATCCAAATTTCAAAATCCAAATGATAAAAACGCCAATTTTATACCAGATCATGTAGAGGATGATTTAGATGGTAATGGAATTCCAGAATTTAAACAAGATTCTGACGGTGATGGTATACCGGACTACTTAGATGAAGATTATTTTCATCACTTTCTAAAGGAGTCAAAAAAACACACTAAAAAGAAAAGAAAAGAAAGTAAAAAATCTTCGAGTAAAATCAAAGCCGTCCCTGGGATCCCAGACAGTTTGGATCATGATGCAAATAGTGATGGTGCACTGAAAGAGAAAGGTAAATGCATACAGTTTTCCACTTATTAATTTTTTAAACAATAGTTTTTCTGTAGTAGTAAGGTTTATTTCAAAGGCAAATTTAACTAGTGGGATAGGACTCCTAAAAAAGATGCAGGTTATCGCAGTCCACAGATAATACAGATTTAAATGGGTAGCGGTTAAAACAAAAAAAATAACGTGTATAGAATGTACTTCATGAGAATGAGTCATCCTAGTCACGTGATTATTTAGGTAAGGCCACAAGGATTAAACCAATCAGAGAACGATATTATTAAGGAGCTGATCAATTATTAAATCGATATTCACATTTAGAATGTGTTAAGGTATGCGGCAACAAATCGTAAACGGGATGACCTGACATGGCACTACTCAACTATATATTAAATTTAGTTTTAATAAATTTATTGACAATCACATTTCTTCGAAGTTTAGTCAATAATATTAAGGAATAATGTAAATACCATATACTGAAATGTTTCTGACTATGTACAGTTTATTATTTGTCTACAGATTTTTTTCATATTGTAGATTGAGAATGAGAAATAAGATAACTAAGGGTTTTTTTAAATCTTACACAATTTTGTCAAACAGGTTATTTAAAGCCCTACCATTAAAAATCTAGTACAACCAGATAATCTATACACGAAACTCATTCAACGTCTCTTATTCATTGTAAAATAAAACTTGGTAACTGAAACACTTAAGGGTATAAGATAGAACAGTCATTTATGAAATATAATCGATTGTATATAGACAAATTTAATGCTAAAACTTAGTTCAACAAAATGATACTAAAGAAATATTATGAACGGTTTTTGAAATTGCCTTAGTCACATGTATCGAGAGTTAATAAGCACTATACAAACTCTGGTGATGCTCTATGAAATATGGTTGGAAGAAAGTTAGGGGTGGCCAAACCAAAACGTGGCATCAGTGCTTTAAGTCACTAACTTCTAGTCTGAGCCATGTTGGTAGATGCAGACTACTTGGTTGGGGTCCGCGTGACTATCGTAACCAATGGTTGGAGACTCTTGGTGACATGGCTCAGAATCGGTCACAATGGCGTCGGCGTATACACTCTGTCTTCCCTTAAACTATGAGATTAAAATCGCTTCATATCTTTCTTTCTACTAACTAATTCTTTCTTCCTGTATTATATCCTTATTGCAATCTTTCTTTTATATATTACCACCTCTGAATTAACTACTTTTATGAATCCGGTGTCCATCTTGTTGTGTTAATGAGGTATGGTAACTTGAACCGATGCATAAATGTGCCTGGTCCTACGTTGTAGCTGACTGACTATGAAATATTTATTATTCATAACAAAGTTTTCTTAATGGAAATATCAGTGTAGTGAAGACAGAGAATCATCAAATCACAAAAAGGGAATATCTCTGAAAACAACATCAATTATAAATAAGTTAAGATTTATTCAAGATTCTCATTGTGAAAATTAGAACAACACATATAAGCGAACAATATTGTTTTCAATTAGATCGTCATCAGGCTTTACTCTAATATACATGAATATTTATACGAAAATTTTAAACCAGTCAAGGCAATATGAGTCAATAATCACAATGAAATAGAATAAGTCACTACACATGATCGGTTTAAAATTTTCGTATAAATATTCATGTATATTAGAGTAAAGCCTGATGACGATCTAATTGAAAACAATATTGTTCGCTTATATGTGTTGTTCTAAGATTTATTCAGTTTATCATTGAATCCTTTACAACATAATTTTGAAAACTTGTCTGATTAATTATTGGCTTTGTTAAAGCATTTGTATATCTGATGAATTTCAATGTATGGATCATGTTTTGATGGAGTTTTATTCTCTGAGGTGGATGGTTTGGTCGTAGAGCTTTCATCGTTCTTTTGAACTCTACATTTCTACCTGAAGTTTGTGCTGATGATGTCGTTCAAAAGAACAATGAAAAATTCACGACCAAATCATCCAGCTCAGAGAACAAAACTCCATCAAAATCATCCACCTGAGGATTCATTAATCAAGACTTCAGTAATAACAAACAAACAACCAATTATTAATTGCACGTAAATACAGAGTTTCTTATAAAATCCTCTCAGTAAAGCTCTAAAGTAGAACAATCATTAAAAATATAGTTTGATAAACCTGAGTATAAAAATTTCGAACATAACCATGATAATTAGAAGCATTCAGATCAATGTTTCAACTAAGAATTTCCGAAATAGTGCAATTTAAAGCAGGTAAAACTAGATGAGTGAAACTGAACGTATTATATTTAGAATTTGTAATGAATGCGCAATCAAGTAGAAAAGAATCATCAGTTAGTACTAATACCGTAATAACCCAAATTTAAATCATGAACGGCTAGAAGTAAATCTTTCTGACACCTAGAATTTTATATCACTAATGGATGAAATTTTCTGTGAACTAGGCACTTTAATAAGCAATCATTTTACACAACATCATCGACAACTACTTGATTTAAAAATAAACATTTTTATAATTGTTTACTAGTTCTGAGAACTTTATTTGTGATCGGTTGGTAACCTAGTATTTGTTGAGTAGTTTATATTCCACTGTATTATTGTTGATACAGAAAATAAAGTAATATTTGAACACTTGAAAATATACCCAGAATTTAGACATTTAGATTTTTAAACTTACGATGAACAATACTTTTAGTATGGATCAAGTTAATAACGTTTATACTGACATATTTCAATAAGGTCAACGCAAAATATTACTTGTACAATCTTTGGAAATATTTAGAGACATATCATGGTTGAGACCATGAGTCAATTGAAGCTAGACCACCAAGGAAAACCTGAAAGTACTGGGTGGCCGTTTCGTCCTATCGTGGGACTTCTCAACAGTGCGCATTCACGATCCCGCCCCCCACGAGATTCGAACCCAAGACCTATCGGTCTCGCGCGCGAGCGTTTAACCACTAGACCATTGAGCCGGCATCCAACGGTGTTAATATCGAACTTCAACCAATCCACGAAATTGAGCGGCACATCCACCATTGTCATCAGTAAGTTACTATCTCACAACGGACCTGGTCGAACTCCACTAGTCACTGCTTCTCACTAGACCTCCAGGAAATACCTCGTGAAACCAGTCACTAGTGAGCATATGCTGATTAATATCAGATGGGGTTTTGTGGATATTGTAGGTTTTCCATGGTGGTCTAGCTTCAAATGACTCATGCTCTCAACCATTGAAATTACTACAATATCCACAAAACCCTTTCTGGCATTATTTAACTGATGGAGAATAATAAATTCGCTTAAAATAAATCAGATTTTTCCTAAAAAAACACAAACTAATTTTATTCGAAATTAACTTGATTTGTTTACTTACCAATATATATACTATTCAAACATACAAATATTCTCAGTAAAACGAATTCTCTATTTTATCTGTATATTTTCAGTTGCCGATCGAAATAACAACGGGGTACCAGATAATCTAGAGATGAAAGACTCTGATAATGATGGAATTCCCGATGATCAAGGTATTTCGTCTTAAAAAGCCATGAAAATTCATTGCTTCCCCCCTCACGCACCGAAATGCGCTACAAATTGATATTGAATGGCTTAATAACTATTATTACTATTATGCATTTGTATTGTTTCATGAAAGAAGTATTAATTAATGTGTGCGTGCACGTAAAATCCAAATTGTTTGAAAATGCTCAAGATTATCAACTACATGTCGTCAAATATAGTTCCGCTCTAATAACATTCTCTTCTTGATTGGCATCCCTTCATCACCTCTCTTTATATTTTAACACTTCCTTTTCTGATATTTCCTAATGAGTGAAAAAAATGCATAGATGGAGTCAACCAATACTGGATATATCCCACCGTCTTTCTTCTACGCTCATACATATGTATACGTATTGATATGAACCGTTTTGTTATTGTTTCTGTTATTTTATTTCTACCCATTTGTTGTTAATCAAATCATGACGTACTACCATCTTTGAAGTAACCCAGATTTCTTTAAATGTTAGATGTTTTTATTTTCATTGATTTTCCATGAATTTCTAAACAACAAAACTGCATGTCTTAATTTCCTCTAGGATCTTATATTGCGTTTGTCTATTTGTATGCTGAAGCTTTGAGCTGTATGTTAAATTTCTTCATCCGTCTAATTTAAAAATGTGATCATTGGATGAAAATGGAACATTAAGATTGCATGTTCTATAATGGGGATATTGAGTTAAAATGAGAAAAATTCCCCTACCTACAAATATAAAAGTTACTTAAACAGTATAGTCCCTAAAAATATTGAACACTTTTTAGATTTATGTACTCCCATTAAACTCTTCAATTAGTGTGTCTTACAGAAATTATTGACAAAACATTTTATTACTCATAATGTAAACATTAGGTCAGCAAATATAATCAACATACAGAAATACACCTAACTGACTACGGAATAGTATACACATAGTTCCCTTTATTACTTAAAGAGAGCAAGAACAAAGATTGTTCTTGCTCTCTTTATGGAATAGTAATCAGTGTTATATTGTCTAGTTCTAAATGCTTATCAAACTGTAATATGGTCACCAGTTGAAGTGGCTATTTGCCCGATACTGAGCAGTAAAACGGGGGGCTCAATAAAAGTCATGAATCTAGGTCCCACGATAGGTATTACCAGTTAACAAGGCACATCTCTAGTCTTAAAAGAATTGATGCTTCCAGTGAGATTCATATTTAGGTCATTACCCACAATCATAATCAGAGACGTTAGTTAAATCTGTAGTATAAAATTGGCATTAAAATTGAAAATACGCCTTGCTAACGACTACCAAATAGCATAGAATCCAAGATCCCCAGCTTCCTGCCGATCTCCTCCAACCACTTTATAGAATTATTTCATTTACATAATCAAGATATCTAATAAGTAAACCATTTAATCTATTCGAAATTTTTTGTATTGATGAGTTACTAATAGAAGTAGTAAACTAACATAAATACGTAGTGAGGAGATCTATATAATTTTATACATACGATTTGGAAGTATGAAGACAATTTGTCAGTATAGCTTATCTCTTTTACGAAGAAGTATACGAAAACTCTAAAACCCTAAGTAAATGAACCTATTGTCTGAGTTTCAATACTTAGTCCAACATGCTTCGTCGAGGGAATCCTTAGTGTAATAAACCAAGATTTACATGTATATGTATGTTAAACACAAGAATTCCAATCATAATGGTGATATTCTTTGCAAAATAATCAGTAAGATTAAAGCCTTGAAATGGTAATACTTGAAAAGATTTTAAAGAATAAAAGAAAAATAATTCGACAAACTGTATTAACCACCAGACAGCCAAATCACTAGCTTGTAAATATATACGTACATATCTACTAAAAGGTTTCAATTAGTTCTTTAAATAACTTAATATAGACTATGTCTCTAAATTAAATAATGAAGAGATAAACAGATATTCGGTAAACAGGATACGAAAGTTTAAACACTGAATTTAAGTTCGATAGATAAGACTTGTGAAGGTTATCGTTTGTATTATAGACAACTATCTTCTATAATAATTAATCAGGCAATAACATGAATCAATTAGTATCCCTAATAATATTACTGTTGTACTAAGTGTCTTAAGTTAAAAACATTCTCTGCTTATAATTGTCTTATTGTTATGTAACAATGCAAGACAGTGAACCTTTTATTTTTTAACATTGATACACTTGTGTTTCGAAAATTGTTATTGTAAACATTTTCTACAAAAATTTTTTTGTTGGAATGTTCTATTCTTTTTCTACTTAGACGATGACGACGATAATGATGGTATCAAGGATTATCATGAAGATCGAAATGGTAATCAGATGTTGGATATTCTTGAAGCAAAAGATACAGATGGTGATGGAATTCCTGATTATCTAGATGACGACGATGATGGAGACGGTATACCTGATTGCGATGACGATGATGACGATGGTGATGGTAAGCAAAAATTTTCTGTTACTTGCGATGACTTCTGGATTCAGCTACAGAGTGAATATCCGCATTCTATACACTTGCGCACCTATTAGTGAGAGAGAACTGAGGAATGGTTATGAAGCTTCAACTGACAAACCAAGTTCATTTGTCACAAGTCTTTGATATCTGTTCATTTGTCCCCCTAATCTAGACAACGTTCTGATGTGATAAAAATTCCAGAGATAATCAAGAAACAAAGCTAATTTGGGAACGAACTTTGATAAGTTTGTTTGACTATATGGTTTCTCAACAATATAAAAAATATGAACAATCATCGACAATACTGAACGTGAATAATTATCATAGAAAATCACTGGAAATTCCATTGCTGAAATTTAATCATTATTACTTCCATGAAGGATAAGGTTGAGACGATTTGATATTTTCTCATCTGCAGCCATCAAAGTCTTTATCTGAGTCAACAAGATTATCTAGGCCTAAGCTCTTGGATAGGTTACTAATCAATGACTAAGTGTCAGCATTAAGTGTTCATACAGTTCAGGACTTCCATTAGATTTTTTTCCGGAATCAATATAGGATGGCACATGTTTCGAGATATAAGTAGCTCTATCTGTCTCGTTGAGTTTCACTTTTATATGTATTAGAGTAAAATATCTAAACTTACTTAAAGGTAGCTTCAGCAAGAGTACTAAAACCGCAACAGATTAATCGTCCACACTAAAATGTCCAACATTTTCTAAATTTCACCATAACGCTCATGTCCATTTGATTATTACGACCTCAAACTTAATATTAACCAATCAAAGCTGCCAGTGTTAAGTTAAGCTAATCAGCCAATCAGGTACAAATGTGGTTGTATGGTGATTAGATAATTATAATGACAAATAAATCCATCTACACGCTATGGATAGAATATCATTTACAGCATGGTGATTTCTGTTTTTTTTTATCTAAAAGTTTTTTCATCCCGAGTTATGCAATGGTAATTATTGGTTATTATTTTCTGAAAGTAATGTAAGATGTAAATATTCCTCCAGTGATCACCTTTCCTCTGTGGGATTCGTAATCGATTGGCGGTTATAGGTAAGAGTGGGTGATTAGCCCGATCTCCACCACCCGGGTTACCGCTCACGTTAGTTCATGAATTATTCGTCTCATTATCCAGGAGGCACGACGCGGATGTGTGAGTTCGATTTCGCTCCAAACTATAAACGTAAATAACTTACAATACGTCAGCCTTATCATTTTAAATGCTATCACGGATATTGATAACATATTCTTGAGTGAGTTGTATCTGGTAGCGTTTCAATCACTTGAAGTGTTAAAGATCATTAAAAATTTGATAAGCCTTCAGGTACAATAATCTGTATTATAATTACAAATCTGTGTCATGTCTGAGAAAGTTTTCAATTTTTCACAGCTCACTTTTAATTGTTGACTTAAATCTACATAACTGAACAGACTAAGTTCCATTTCTATGTGATCAATAAGAAAATTATTATCTCTTTTTATCTCAATATCTATTAACGGTCGGTTGTATAATATGATGGTCTAATACTTCCGTAGTCTGTGAAGTTTAGTTTGACTACCGATCCTATAAAACAGATTATAATTTATCATAGAAGTATTTTTGAAGGATGTTCATAATAGAGAAGATTGTATTGATTATGTTTTGAATTCTGTTGGATGAATCACATATCAGAAATACAAGAGATTACGTTTATATTTTCTGAAGTTACATTTACCCATCATTTGCGTATCTCAACAGCAGTACAAGTCTTCAGTTTTACGGTTGTTCACTAACCATCTTAAAAAACCCATTAAGTACAGTAAGCCTTATTCGATTTTGCATTTTAGGTATATTAGACATTGATGAAGACGAAAACAGGAATAAAATTCCTGACCATTTAGAAACCGAAGACACTGATGGGGACGGTAAATTTTGTTTAAAATTATTTGCTATCAACTGTTTTCCCCTTGATTTTTGACTAAACAAAAATCCATAAAATTTAGTCAACACTGGAATGCTATGCAGATTATTAGCTACTTTTCAGTCATTGTTTTATCAATTCAGTCTGCCTTAGAAAGGGTCAGCTAGTTATTATCAGTGTAGAGTCTAGCACAGATGTAGGTTGGCTCAAGTTGCCAAACTACTTTATGGTAGAACGAGAGGTAACTAACATAGTGTATGGAAAAAGAGATTGGAATAATGTATTAGCTTGTAGCTCTTCTAGAGTTACCGCCATTACAGAGACCTGGTAAAGGAGGAGGGTTGGGCAAGGGTCAGCAACCCCATCCCGTAGAAAACAACATTGCTAAAAAACGCTGACCATGATAAACAAATTAAACCATTTGAACTCTGCCCTCCGAGTTGAAGAATCTTCATTCAGAAGAACTATGATGCCTCATGGTGAAAGCCGAGATTCTTCGGAAATTACTAGACCTATGCCACTTCTAACAACCAGGGCAACAATTAATGTCGGTACATGGGATGTTCGAACAATGTAGATCGATCAAATAGCTATGGAAATAAGGGGATACAACTTGGAGGTTCTCAGAATAAATAAATGACAATAAGAAAGATTAAGCAGAGTGTAAAAGTATATATGAAGGGATATAAAATTGATAGGAAGATCAAAAGTCGATACTGCTTAAATGATTTTACAATTCTAGGTTAAATCTGTTTTAGATATTTTGGAGCAGTGTGAACTTTTAAGACGTCACGGGTACCCCTTCAAGTTTGAAACCGATTATAAACTATCTTCAATACCCAGATCTATGTTTATTTTAAGAACAAGTCTACCAATCTATGGTTTATGTAGTGAACTTCGAGTCACAATTTTCGATTACGAGTTATTGTTACTAAGACATAGAGCTGTTTTCGGATATGCGGGCTGTCCACTGTTACTATAGAGATGAAACATCCTTTATCTTGGTGAAGCATTTCAGAATACAGACTTATGATGCAATTTTAATGAGATTTACCTAAAGTTTTGCTTCTGTATGCCCTCAAATGAGTGAATTGAATCTTGTTGAAAAGTGATGTATGATGAATTAAATCTTATTAATTGGATTAAATTTACATTGTTCAAGGAATCGTATCTTTAATATCCTTGGTCAGATTGTTGAATCGACATGTAAACTTGAGTCATATAATGTAACCGCACTGTATTGTATTGCATTCCAATTTTCTACCTCCTTTTTAGTTCGTTCTGGGTCGTTCAAACACTGTGTTCTCACTTTTATAATTTCTTTTCAGCCAATGTTTAATTATTTATCTTGCGAACTTTGCGCTGTGCAAGAAATATCACAGGTACACCTTGTGTACAAGCACCAACTAGCACGAAAACTAAATACAGCATTTTCTGTCGACTACCTAACATCTAAATATAATGCACGTAATTTTGAGTTTCTTACACAAGTAACCACAATGTAACTTGATCAATAAGATTCAACCAGAACCAAGGACTAGACAAACAGTGTCGATATGACGAAATGCAATATGGGACCCTAAAGTTTTTATTTCTGTTCATCTGATCACTAACGTCTAAATGGAATAAAACAAAGCAGCTCAGTGATTATCTAGTCATGTTCTCAGAATGAAAGTAAATTCTTACTAAATTTTTCGTCAGGTTACGTGAAGTCACTTCCCAATTTAACTATCTTATCCTTTGAAGAAACATTAATTGGAACCAATAAGCATTTCTTATTTTGATTTTTCATTGTTTTGTAAAATTCCACTTTCATTTTGTCATAAAAATTTGTCTTTTTTCTTAGGAATTATTGATCTACTTGATACAGATGATGATAACGATAATATACCAGACCACTTAGATAGTGATTCCGATGGAGATGGTATTGACGATAAAAAGCAAGAAAGAAATCGTCATAAAACTACTAATCCAAAAGAAACTGTCAAGAAAAGTAAGTCCTTTAATCTGTAAAAGCTTGAATTAATTAAATTCATTAGTTATGGCATATTTAGTTATTATGATTTGATGGTTTGGTTAAGATGACTACGGGGAAGTGAAAGAAGGAATGTAACTCCAATTAATTGTTGTCTAAATTGGTTTGTTAGATGTTACTTAGATTAGTATCAAATATTGAGCTAATGACAACTGAAAGACACTGTACTCTTTAGATCGATTGACCTACTGCCTTCAGGACTTACAGTTTATGTATTACTATTAACCCACTGGGTTCATCAGTTTTTACGTCTTAACTTTATATGATTTGTGAAATATCAATTCTATCATTTAATTTCACTGACAGTTATTCGTTCTTTACTGTTAAAGAAAAGTTTTATTTTACTAGTGCTTCGGTTTAAAATTATGTTTAATCGTCACTTGAAGTGTTGTAATTCTTAGAGCTTCAGAAAAGCGGTATTCTAGTTATGACTTTAAAATAAATAAGCTTCCTCTTCAGATAAAACCAAATAAATATATTTACTCTGTGCTTATTTGTTTACAATATTCAGCTACACAATTTATCAATATTTCGGTACATTAATATGTTACTGTACTAATATTGTAGTGACAAACAGTTTAAACTTGTTTAAAGGATACTTTTTATCAATCAGAAAACCTTTATTGCCAGAACATGAAGATAGTAAACAAAATACCTTAATAATTTAATTTCTTTAGTGTCCATAAATTCATTTCAACTCAACAAAGTTTAACAACTCTTGTTACAAAATGATTTTCACCATGACTCAGTATTCTATTGAAGACAAGGAAAATTCCCGAATATTGAACAATCTTTACCATACAAGTAGTGAATACTTCATTAACATGACCTATCTACCTGCCTAGTCTTTAAATCACGGATTCACAATTGATGGATTGTGTACCAAGTGCTACATACATTGGCCGACCTGTCATGATAAAAGACACATTTGGACTTCAAGTATTCAATCGCATGAGTTTCGTTTTAGACAGTATTCGCATTCCTTGAAACCACTAGATGACCTTTTAGATATACCGGTCGCTTGATAAATTCAAATTAAACGAGAACAAGATTTGCAGAATAACACGGATTTATTATATTTCAATGCTTCTCATCATCTGTAAACGGCTTAAATTCACATTGGTGATATAATTATAAAGTTTTGCATACCGTGACCAATAACCTTCAGTTCGAGACGAAATAATAAACAATAAAAAAAGCTATTAGAAAGGGGTTTTGTGGAGATTGTAGTAATTTAATAGTTGAATTCGTGAGTCGATTAAAGCTAGATCACCATGGAAAACCTGGAAGCACTGGACGGCCGTTTCGTCCTAATATGAGACTCATCAGCGATACACATCCACGATCCCGCTCGCGAGATTCGAAACCAGAACAACAACATATTTGATATAATAGTGAAGACTGATTAGTATTCATGTGTCGAAGATGAAGTCATAAAAAGGGATGAAATTATAACTGAATGAATAAAAACATATATGTGATAGTCAATCAAGGCACCTGGTTGATATAAGATTAATGTTTAACGTTGTGAATGGATGTCAGTGGGATTCTTTTTAATGAAAGTATTTTAAATGATTAATTCTGTCAGTTTGTGTGCCAAATAAATCAGCGTCGTTCGGTGAATCAATTTTTGTGAAGAATCATATGACCCCATTTCCAATCTTTCATGTTTGCTACTGTGATATTAGAGAACGTAATGAAAACTATTCGAAATCCCATTATTTTTTTTCATAATCGAGTCATAGTAACAAACACTTACCATTCATTTGCTGCAAAATATGATTAATAATAAATAAAATTTCCCTGTAATATGAATACTATCTAAATTATATTCATCGTTTATTAATATAAACAACATAGCAGAAACAAATGCTTTATCGTATTGATGAAAGCGTTTTTCTCGCGACTGGTCTTGGTTGATATTAAAGGGAAGAGAGATAGTTACTCAACATTATTGTTAACATTTATGTTGATTACTCTTACTTGATAAAAACAACCATAAAACATGATAAAATATTAAAGTGTATATATTTAATATGGTCCCGACCGTTGTTGCTACCTTGACGTGGAGGTCGAGCTTGCCTATCGTTATGATCTAATCGAGCTATACTGGCTGGAACAATCATTACTCAAGGTCTTACCATGCCAGACAGGTCGGCTGAAGAGCGGTAAGACTAAAAGCAGAAAACCCAAGGTCCGAAGGCGAATTCGTACTACTGACTGTACAGAGGTGTAACGGCAGTAACAGTGATGAGTAGTGTGTCTCCGAAACACACATAGAGGATCCTAGTGTGATCATTCACTTGACCTCACCCCGCCAAAACGGAGAGCCAACGAGATACACCCTCTGTGTATCTGGTAACCCGATGGCCAGCTCTCGTGGACTGGCAGGAGTAGGGATAGCACTAAGTACGAGGGCAGGACAATCACTATTAATGTAGAACCCCGTTAACAGTCGTCTGTGCTGTCCGGCTAAACAGCTCCGTAAGAACTCAGAAGGACAGGGACACACGTCGTTGCCTTTTCATCGTTTCTGCCTACGCTCCCACTGACTGCAGCCCGGATGAAGTGAAAGATGACTTTTACAGAGAGTTTACTGAACTTCTTCAGAAAGCTAAACGTTCAGACATAGTACTCGTAGCAGGTGACTTCAATGCCCAGGTAGATAGCTTAGACCAAACAGGAAAAGATTTAGGTGCGTATTTCGGCTCAGCCAACAGATAATGGGGATCGTCCGCTGCAACTGCTCAGACAATCGTTTATTTTTAACAAACACTAATTTTACGCATTAGGAGAGACATCGTCTAACACGGCGAGCCCCTACACCAAACTAACGATGGACTCAAATAGACCATACTGCCATCAGTCATCGTTGGAGATGGTCGATAGAAGATTGTCGCTCATTCTGGAATGCCTGCTCCGACTCAGACCATGCTCTAATACGGACACGCATCTGCTTACGCCTCACTGGACGCAGAAAAGCCACACTAAAAATACCCATTAGAATTGAATTGAGTAATGAGTAGGTTCCAGGAGCAACTGAGGTTACACTTAGGTCGTTCTGAAAACGAGGCTGACCCAGGTGTTGCTTGGAAAGATATACAAACAGCTGTGGGAACGGCAGTGACAGCTGTTAGTGATTTAAACCAATGGGTTACAGAAGTTAAATTAGTGGAAACTATATACTCAGCACCCAATTCTTGTCAAACTATTCGTTCTAATACTGACGAAGATTCGTATAAATTACTTAATTCATTTTTGATTTAGCGGTAACAATATGATTTTAGTCTTGCAATCCTACCACTGGGACACTAAATACCAGATATTAGCTAGTATAACCAGTATTATCATTAGGACTTAACCATTAGACAATTAGACTCAATACTAGACAAAGTACTTGATCAATACACTAAATGATAGACAATGTATACACAGATATACGAAATTCCAAGCAAAATTGAGAACCAAATTAGATTAGACTATAATTTACTGATACAAATCACAAACAGTCAATATATAGTGAAGTCTGAATAGAAATCAACCTTATACAAATAAAAACAATCTACATTTCTATCTTTTCTTATTAACCAACCACAACTGAGCGTCACCTGACAAGTCAGTTTCGCATATAATCGAGATTCTTGTTTATTTTTTTCATTCTAGATAAAGAAAGCAAAACGACGGTGCATTTACCTTCACCTAAATCTCAACTACCAGGACATTCAAAAAGCAAATCACTACCTAAAAAGACCACAGATTATGATAATGAAGACAGTGAAAAAACTGATGATGATTATGACAACAAGAAACTATCTAAAATGAAAGACAGCGGTATCAATAGTGATAATGATGATGACGATGATGATGATAGCGATGAAGACGAAGATGACGCCGATGGAGCAGATGATGGCAAACCTATGACGAAAACTAGGTCTATAGTTTTATCTATATTAAAACGAATCGAAAACATCTTTGGTGTTGAAGATGATGATGGTGATCATGATGCTGAAGAGGATGATTCACATGAAGAAATTCATGATCATTAAAATGTTATTTTATCCTCATTTTTATACTAAAGAGATTTCATATGATTTTATTAAAAATCAAGTTGTTTTAGAACCATTAAGTAGTACAACCAACCATTACTACTCATTCTCTTGACTTAGTTTGCATCGGTTGAATATACTAGCTCAATTGACAAATCTAATGTTTTGATGTATGATAATGTGCAGTTCTGTACCTTACCATTTTTTTCGTTTTAAAGATATTCTTACATACTAACTAAATCCTTAGAATAATACTCTCACACAATAGCTTTACTTTTCATCCACTCAGTCTTTTTGTTCTCCCTCTTCAACCCTTCTGTATTGTTTCATTTTCGAATCAGTTAAACTATCCATCTTGTAACTTATCCAATTTCTTATTGTTTTTTTTATTTGCTTTAGTGGAAATAGAAAGAATTAAACAGGAAAACAACAAACAAGTACACAAAAGAGACTAGATTAGAAAATAACAAGAAATATGGAAAATCAATAGAATAGAGTTATATACAACGTTGATTTTCCAGCTCTTTTTTTCTGATCAAGTAATTTTGGATTTTCGTTGATTACACACACACAAACTAAACACATGTTTTAATGGTACTACTACTACTACCACTGCCTTTCTTTCAACTACTATGAATTAGTTATTCATTCATCAACTGTAATAAACTCTTTGTGAATGTTTATTCCTTGTTTTCTTTCGGTTTTTCAGTTTCACTTCTTCATCATCCACTATTTTTCTTTCGTATACAGTAGAAATATTCTGAAAACTCTATCTCCCTACATATAATGTTTTTATTTTTCTGTCTTCAACTTTCAATTTAAATTAAATATAGACACATTTAAACAAACAAACAAATTACAGCACAGAAATTAAATATTATTTAGTTGAGTTTACTTATTTTCCTTTAGCATGTTTTCGTTAATAAAATTTACTGGTTTTCTTTTGAAATATTGTGTACTCAGTAAAGTTGGATTCAGAGCACGTTTCTCATCATATTTGGGACTCGTCAACGAGATCTTTATTCATCCCACTGTTGATATTCACGAGGAAACTCGAAGCTTCAAACTTCAACGCACTGTCGACTAAAGTGTTATCTTCAAATGGTCACTAACTCTTCTAACAGGTATGAAGTTATTTATAAAGGCTTTTATTTCTCCGTTGTTGGTATGGGTAACTACAATCAATCATTCTACTGGCATATACACATTCTGAGCGAATTATCTCAATACTCCCAGTCACAACTAAACTTTACTAACAATTCGTGACTTCATGGAAATCATACAGGCAATCCTATCAGGGTGCTTACATACCAGTAGAAACTCAGTCAATTAATAGTAACGTAGAACATGGAGCTTCTCCATCATACCACTTTATAACAAACACTAGCATAAAAACTGCCTAGTAATGCAATAAAATTCGATCTAAAGGTTAAGGAATATAACTATGATTGAGCGTAGATTAACACATCTGTATTCAAAAATTTGACTAAGAGTAAACATCTGATTGATACAGCTACATCTAAGTCTGGAATTAGTTTGCTGTCTGCGATCTGTAGTTAAAACTTGAATAATTAAAAGTATTCAGAAGCTAACGTTTACGAGCAATTTCACTTTCATGTGTTTCACAAGTACACATTAATAACTTTTTTTAAAGAAAAGATTTCCAGTTTGCCTGTGCCATTTGAAATTCAATAAAAAAACAACCACTAAAGAAGAATAGTCAGTCAGTTGATTATCGACGAATGGAACAAATGTGTGTTATCCAAAGTTGTTATAACACAGTAGCAAGACGAGATAAAATTACCAAAATGAATAAGAATATCAAGGAGAATATTTTGAATTTGCTTACGTCTGTTGAATGTTTATTAGACGCCTAATATCTTTAATGTTGAGACATTGAATTACAGACAAAACTTCAAATTGTTTGAAGCTTAACGAACCTAACATTGTCAAATTAATTGGTGAATAAACTGAGTGAGTAGTAATACACTGAGGTTTTCAGATTTAAGAGACATTAAAATGTTAAAAATATGTAAACTTTTCAACAGAAATGAAGTGAAATAAAAGATATTTTGGGATTTCAGATAAATGATTAGTGGCACTATCTGGCACACTGAATCAACTTAGATGAAATTCGAACTCAAAACTTAGCAGTTCGATCTTGAATGTTTTAATCAAGCACACCGTATTTTAAGGGTGGATTACTTCAATGGATCAATTTAAATTTCATCAGCTTGTGATAAGCCACTTCATTTTACCAGCTAATTATCATTTAATTAATCATGAGTGAGCTACTTGATGAACTAGCAATGATTTAATATAACCATATTGAGTAGTAACATTTTAATGACTATGCCATTGTGCCAAATAAAATTGCCTCATACATATGTTGTGTTCTTGATTGTTTATAACCAGCCGAGTGTTGACTGCCATTATATAATCATATCGGATTATAAAATTTACCAAGGTAAACGTAAGAATACAATTTTACTTTAAACAAGCTAGTGTTAGCAGAAAAAGGTCTTAACTGTTGTACAGTTGCATCAGACGAAAATAGAGAAGCACTGATTTACCGATTTTAGATCTAGCATCACTAGTGGATGACTCCAGATACGAGAAGATTCTTACGTAAATTGTCCACAAACTCTTGTCTTTTACCTTTCGATATTTTGTTGTTCGCGTTTATTGAAATATACATTGTTGCTCTCGATTTTTATTAGGATTTAGGAAAAGCCGAGTGAAGCATATACCCAAGGAATACTAAACAGTAGAACCTGACTCCATCTAGATCATTTGCTGCTTGTTATTGAAATACACATGTTGCCAATCCTCGTATATTATTATCGACTTAAATCGCGCCAGTGAATAACGGAATTAAATAGGTCAAGTATGAGAATGGATTTCAAATACGTATATGTCATACCATCATTGATCTAGACAGACGATCGAATGAATAAAGCGAAACGAGATGATGTGATGTGGAGAAGGCGTGCGATGAGTAGGCCAAGAAATGCACATGCATACGCTTACATTAAAAACGGTTCAAGTTAATAGGCGAACAAGTGACAAGGTCAAAATATAGCTTGAGAATGGATAAATTAATTTGTCCATAGGCTAGAATAACCTATGTCGGCTTGACATAGGGCCAGCCACGATAAAACAATGTAGCCATACGTTTGGCTTCGTCTATTTGATTATGGTTGTCCTTATGATTCAGAAAAAGATGTAGGTTTATTTGTTAGTTGAGACTGTAGTGGCTGATACTATGTCAAGCCCACATATGTTATTCTAGCTCCTGGATAGACCAACTTGTTCAATCGTTTCAACCACAATTTGACCTTGTCAATTATTCACTTATTAGCCCTGACTTTAAATATGATCGTATGTGTGGGTAAACATTTACTGGTGTGTTAATTGCTAACCTTATTCATTGAGTGTCTGCAAATTATTTTGGTAAGAATAAATATTGAATCACGCTTGATCACAACGAATTGTCTCACCCGCCATCTCCTCTGCGCGTCACTTAATTTCGTCTCGCCGATCGCCTGTTCAGATCAATGAGTATACGAAATATACGAATTCAGTCTCGTATTTGACTTATTTTGTTCCATTATCTCCTAACCATAAAAATAAACGAGGGTTGACAGTATGTATATTTCAATAGCTTGACACTCAGGTCTATCATCAATCGATCCAATTTATCAACCAATCGCAAACATTATGGACAAATATAGGACCAAAAATTACATCAATAAAGAGAGATACAATCAAACTAAAGAAGTAAACAATAACCGGTTAAAGGCGAACAATAACCAGTCAAGATCGAGGCCTACAGGACAAGCTGTGAGCCATATGTGGAGAAACTCGAACACTTCACTTCCACCTGAAGTTTGCACTGATGTTCAGAATAAAGATGAAAGCTTCACAGCCAAACTATCCAGCTCAAAAATCTAAACTCTACCATAATATTTTGATAGCAATCATCAAGCGAACTGCAGACGTCACAAGCATTCGGGGTTTGACAACGCTTTAACCAGTAACACCTAATATGAAGCCTACCCACCAAGTGAAATCAAAAGACAGAAGCGAAGAAGTTCGAAGATATATTTCATATGCTATCAATATATCGAGGATCGTCTAATCTAATCTGGCTAGCGATTGCAGGGGTTGTTAAACACGACGTTCCCACTCGTGATCTGGTGCGGATGCATGACCGAGCGCCTTCAGTTAGGTGAGTCCATTAAAACATGTGGTCAGCATCCAATGTCGAAAACTTACAGAGCTATTTAACTTGGGGACTTATTTACTGCTACAGAACTCCGCCTGGATCCCCTCTGGGGCTACTGCCGGCACCAAGCTGGGATAAAGGAGGAGGGTTTGGTATGGGGTTAGCGACCCCATCCCTTAGAAAACTAACTCGCTGAAAAATGCTAACCAGAAAAAATAATTCAGACCATTTAAACTTTGCCCTGTGAGTTAGGTCTCCATTTAGAAGTCATGACGCCTCATGGTGAAAGCCGAGCTCCTTCGGAAGTCACGAGGTTGGTGCCCATTCTAACAACCAGAGCAACCATTAATTTAGGTAAATGGAATGCTCTTACAGTGAGGGAAACCGAGTCTTCCAAATTGCTGCAGAAATGAGGAGATACAACCTGGAGGTGATTGGGGTCAGTGAAACACATTGGACGCAAGTTGGACAACAACGATTAGCTTCAGGGGAGCTTCTGTTATATTCCGGCCATGAAGAAGAAAATGCCCCACATACACAAGGAGTTGCATTGATGCTGTCCAAACAAGCACAAAATGCACTAATTGGATGGAAATCTCATGGACCAAGGGTCATCAAAGCCTCCTTTAAAACAAAGAAAGAGGGCATTTCAATGAACATCATCCAATGCTATGCGCCTACCAACGACTACAATGAAGACGCTAAATATCAATTCTACGATAGGCTACAGTCAATCGTCGAGAAATGCCCAAAAAAAAGACTTGATCATTCTGATGGGAGACTTGCATGTCAAGGTTGGAATGGACAACACCGGATATGAAGACATCATGGGACGACACGGATTGGGAGAAAAGAACGAAAATGGTGAGAGATTTGCAAACCTATGTGCCTTCAATAAACTGGGCATGGGTAGCACCATATTCCTACATAAAAGCATACACAAAACCACATGGACTTCACTGGATCACACTAAGCATAAACAAATCGACCATATCTGCAGCAATAAAAGGTTCTGAAGGACATGAGGATCGAGAGAGGAGCTGATGTAGTCTCAGATCATCACTTGCTGGTCGCCAAGATGAAATTTAAACTCAAGAAGCACTGGACAATATCACAAAAGTTTAATACGGCTCTTCTTCGGAATACTGACAGACTCAATGAATTCAAGATAGCCCTCAGCAACAGGTCCCAGGCCTTTCGCGATCTACTCGATGTAGAGGGAACTAATATGGAGAAGAACTGGAAGGAAATCAAGGAAGCAATCACTTCAACACTTAAGAAGGTTTTGGGCCACAAGAAGCACCAACACAAGGAATGAATCACTGTTGATAGACTGGATTAGATTCAAGAAAGGAAGAACAAGAAGGCAGCAATCAATACCAACCGACAAGAGCAGAGAAAGCCAAGGCACAAGCTGAATACACAGAAGTAAACAAGCAAGTGAAGAGGAGCATGAGAACTGAAAAACGTAAATATGTGGAACACCTAGCAATGATGATAGAAAAGGCTGCAAGAGAAGGAAATATGAGACAATTGTATGACACAACAAATAACCTCGCTGGCGATTATCGTAAACCAGAACGATTAGTGAAAAGCAAGGAAGGTAAAGTAATCACCAACATTGAAGAACAGCGAAACAGGTGGGTAGAGCACTTCAAAGAACTCTTGAATCGACCAGCTCCACTGAACCCACCCAACATCGAAGCAGCATCCATGGGCCTCCAAGTCGATGTTGGCCCACCAACAAGTGAA